AGAGAGCACAGTGTGGAAAGGGGAAGGGTCACCGTACAGCCAGGTGGCCTCGGGCAGCACTATAGTGGCCATCCGGGCCGACAGCATGAGCGCCTGGTACAGGATGAGAGTGGCAGGTAGGCTCCGGACCCCTTCTAAAACCGCAGCCGGGTCCCATGAGAAACCCCAGACTGCAGCAGATGGCCTCTCAGGGACATTCTACGGAACACCCAACAAGCCCTCCCCAAAGCCATCAAGGTCAAAGGCAAGGAGAAGCCGAGAAACTCACAGCTAGATGCAGCCTGAGGAGGTGAAAGGTCATGCGTATCCTGGGTGGGTTCTGGGACCCGAAAAGGACATTGAGGGAAACTGAGGAGGTCAGAGTAAAGTGTGAGCCCTGGAGAACGACAGTGTAGCCATCGCGTTCTACTGATGGTCACAAACGGGCCACGTGGGACAGCAGTAACGCAGTAGGAGCTGCACAGGAACGCTCAGGGCTATTCTCACAGTGATTCTGCAACCCCGAAACTGTTCTAAAATTAAAAAGCACATTTATAAACAAAGCATGGGCCGGGGTGTAGCTCAGCAGTAGGGCACATGCTTAGCAGGCCCCAGAACACGAAGCACAGAGAAGAAGGGGCTATGAAGGATATGGCTGAGCTAACAAGGGGCCCCCTGGGAAGAGGGGAGCTCTGAAATGACCCCAAGGTCTCAGACTTGGAGGTGGGCCCGGGGGTCACTGGGGATGTGACCTGGGAGGGTGTTCCTGTCCTTGGCTCCTCCCTGCTGCCTCTGCTTCCTGGCCTGTCAGTGTCCCCCTCTTTTGCACAGGGCTGTGGACAGCCTCCGCTCCAGCTCCACATTTTTGGGGTGGTGTGGGAAGCTGCAGCCCTCGGCGGAAATCCCACGGAGCTGGCAAAGGGACAGCGCTCCGTCCTCCCCGGCCTCCTGCCTCCCTGGCCTCTCGCTGCCAATTTCCGTCCTTCTGTCTCTATTTCTCTTTCACACCCTCAGCACAGACCTGTGGAAAATGACTCTGCGTCCTCCCCCTTTGAGCACACGGAGGACAGGCGTGTGTTTGTCACTGTGACTCACCGCCTGTGGCCGCTGGCTCCAGGGTGAGGCTGACGCAGAGCGAGCTCGGCATGGCTGAGTGGCTGTGTGAAGGAACCCGGTGTGGGCAGCACTGCCCAGCTGTCACCAGGGAGCCCTGAGTCACCCTGACAGGTGCCAGGGTGGGACACATGGGCACGGCGTGTTCTTCAAGGCGCAGCCCTCCTAGGAAGTAGGATGGGGTGGCAAGCATGGGCAGAGTGAGCCCTGGCTTCCACCTGCTATTTGGTGTGGGGAACAGAAGCAGAAGCTGAAGCCAGGACTGGCGGTGCACACCTATCATCCCAGCACCAGGAGGCTGAGGCAGGATGATGGCTGCAAGTTCAGAGCACGACCTTGTCTCAAAAAGACAGAAGACAGAAAGAGGACATTGAATGAAAGAAAGAAAGAAGGAAAAGCAGAAGCTCTGGGCCTCCTGGCTCCAGCGCTGGGCCCCATGCTCCCACATTCTGGAGGGGACTGGGGGACTTGCCGCAATGGGTGGCCTCGTCTGAGCTCTTGGGCACCAGATTCCTGCTCCAGCTCTGGGCGCAGGCACGGTTATGACCACGCTTTATGCTCCGTGGGTTCAGCAGCCGCAGCTGCCCCTGGTGCACGGGGATGAGTGGGGACACAGCCCACATCCCACGCGCCCCGCTGGCCTCCCCGGTTTGCAGACCGCCCTGCCCGGGGCTTCCGGCTGCGGTCCTGAGAGTGCGCGCAGATTCTTCCACCAAAGCGGATGAGCCGCGTGTGGGTGGCATGGACAGAGGGTGGCTTTGCTCCTGGCTGGCAGCCTCTAGGGGAGGAGGCCTGTGGCTAAGTCAGGACTCCTCTCCGGGCTCTCCTGCCCCGCCTGGAGGGGCCGTGGGTCCCAGCTGAGCAGGTAGCAGTCAGCCCTCCCAGGCCAGCTGACCCGGGCTCCTGCACAGGGGGTGTCTCCTGGAGTCCCTAAGCCTGGGTTTTCTTGGCCCGGATGGGTGGAGGCCACAAGCTGAGCATCTTCGGGACAGTGAAAAAAATGTTTTGAGACAAGGTCTTGTTATGGAGCTCAGGCTGGCCTCGAACTCACTGCAGTCCTCCTGCCTCGGCCTCCTGAGTGCTGGGATTACAGATGTGCACCACCACACACAGCTAGGATGGTGACATTGTAGTGGTTCAAAGCTGCCACCCGTCTCTGGTTGGAGCCTGGCTTCTGACACACAGACATGTGGAGCAGTATCTGTGTGAGTGGGTACTCAAGCCCTAGCTCAGCCCCTGGTCTTTTGTGGCAGGCGCCCCTGGGGCTGCGCTGCTCCACGCTGTCCCACCCTGCTCACCTCCAGAGCTGGCCCTTGCCAGCCACCCGGACACACGTATGTGAATCCAGGCCCAGCACACATGTGTGCTCACTCATGCCCATGCCACCCACATGCACTCACACACTACACTAAACGCTCTCATGTTCACACACACAGGTGCACACCTACCACACGCATGTTCACTCATGCACACCCCACTCACATGTCACACAGGGAAAACTGCATCCAAATGAACAAATAGGAATTGAACACGGAGGTGAGCCATTTGTACAACAGAAACTAACAAAATGTTGCTAAAAGAAATTAAGATGTGGAAAGACATCCCTTGTCATGGATTAGAATATTTAACCTTGATCGGGTGTTCATCCTGCCCACAGATTTAATGTAATGTCTATCAAAATCCCAACAGCAGTTTTCGGGGAAATAGAAAAATTCATCTTAAAATTAATGTGGAATTTCAAGGGAGCCTAAAACGCCGAGGCCACCTTAGAAGAGCAAAGGTAGAGGACTCACGCTTCCCGATCTCAAAGCTCGTGGCAAAGCTACAGCAACACGAAGTGCGCTGCTGGTGTGAGGACAGCATGCAGAGCAGAACAGCAGCACGGGGATGAGCCACATGTACGTGTGCAGATGAGGGTTGGCAAGCGTGCTGAGACCATTCAACACCAATGGACCAGCTCTCCCACAAACAAGGCTGGGAACTCTGGGCATCGTTTGCAAATCAATGAAGTGGGACCCTTACTTTGTACTATGGATAAAGATTAATTCATAATGGGTCAAAAAATCAAAACGTAAGACCTAATACTATAAAGCTCTTAGCAGAAAACATGAGATGAAGGCTTCGTGACATTAGATTTGGCAATGATTGCTTGATGTAATATCAAAGGCATAGGCAGCAAAAGAAAAAATAAGTACTTTGGACTACATCAAAATTTAGACAACAATCTGAGAGGCTGAGGCAGGAGGATTGCATGATTTAGCCAAAACTAGGCAACTTAGTGACTTAGTGAGATCCTGTATCAAAATTTAAAAAGTAATAATAATAAAGGGATGGGCCGGGGATTTAGTGGTTTCGCCGCCTCCTGCGCAATCGCAAGGACCTGAGTTCGATCCCCGGTACCAAATAAATAATAAATAAATAAGGGCTAAGGATTTAGTTCAGTGTAAAGGCCATTGTTCAATCCTCAATACCATAAAAAACATAGAGTTTCTATGCATCAAAGGGCACAACCAGAAAGGCAACTCATGGAATAGGAAAAAATATTTGCAAATCCTACATCTGATAAAGGATTAGTATACAGAATACAGAGAGAACTCCTAAACTTCAGCAACAAATTGAGAACCAAAAATGGGTAAAGGACTTGAACAAACCTTTCTCCAAAGACATACAAATGGCCCATGGGCCCATGAAAAGATGAGTTAGGTAACTGCAAACCAAATCACAATGGGATGTCACAACATCACCTCACACACACAGGGTGGCCACGATGGAAAACCAGAAAGTAATGAGTGTAGGCGAAGACGTGGAGAAAGATAACCCTTGTGCATGGTTGGCAGGGATGGAAAATGGTGTAGCCTCTGTGGAAAATAGTTGAGCAGGTCCTCAAAAAGCAAAATGCAGCTGGGTGTGGTGGTACATGCCTGTAATCCCAGCACCCTGGAGGCTGAGGCAGGAGGATCGCCAGCCTGGGCTACACAGGAGACCCTGTCTCAAAAAAACAAAAAAAAAAAAGAAAAAAAGAACAAAAACACAAAAAAGCAAAATGCAGACCTACCACCTGCTCTGGCATTCCACTGCTGGGTCCACACCAGAACTGTACACATGAAAATGGCTATGATGGTGAACTTCATATTGCTTGAAGGAAAACCTAGAAAGGTCTTGTGGCTGCAGGAGGCAGGGCCACGGCAAGGACCCTATGGTTGGAGCCAACTGGGCACCCTCCATGTGCAGCCCACAGGGTCCAGGCCCAGCTCCGAGTGCAGCAGTGCATGCCTGCTGCTCACTCCAGGCTGGTGTTGTGCTTTGGACTCACCACCCCGCCAGCCCTGGGGCAGCCTGGGGACGGGAACACTGTGCATCATGGGGCGGAAGGGAAGCAGAGGCATCCCAGGGAGAGCCCTTGGATGGGTCCTGACCCCAGCAGCAGCCCAGGGCCCTCCTGCAGGGATCCCTGGCTCCCAAGCACCGGGACAAGAGGCTGGGGGTGACCCAGCTGGGGCCTGGTTTCAACCCCAACCTGGCCCTAGGCACCCAGACCAATTGGGGGCTGCAAACATTCCCCCATGTCCCCCACATACAGAAGGAATCTGAGAAATCAATACTGGGGAGTCTCCTCTGAGCTTTCAGTCCCCATATTTCCTGCTGTGATGATAATGACACTATAGCATACACATCATGTTATATCTACCTGCATGTGTGTCACAAGACAGCATCACAACACCTTGCAAGATGAGGTGAGGCTGGACAGGGAGGCTGATGGAGGAAACCTGGCCTGTTTGGGAAATTTGTCCATTTCCTCTCCTGTCTTCTAGGAAGGTCATATGACAGCTGAGTCCAGGCAGGTCACACGGAACTTTAGCCTGAGTGGCTCCATCTTGATTTTTTAGCTTGGCCTGTGGGATGGGGTACAGGATAGGAGCTTCATCCAAGACAAAGGCTTCCCGTGATTTTTATTTAATCTGTACATCAAGTGCTGGGTGTGCCAGTGGTTTTTGTTGATAGGTACATGATCAAAGCTTTCTGGGCTGGAAGATGAGGTCCTTGGAGTCAGGGTGGGGCCCCAGGGACAGACCCAGGATTTAAGCCTCCAGCTGAAGTGGTGAGCAGAACAGACTCCCTTAACTAAAATGGACCAGAAAAGAGCTTGGGACAAGTATCCAGCTGGCCACAGGGCTGGAGGGCAGCTCCAGACAGGGCCAGGCAGGGGAGGGGAGGCGCGGCTGGGAGTGTGGGAGCAGGTGACAGAGGTCCCCAGCAGGACTGACGCAAGAAGTCCTGTGCCCAACAGCTGCCCAGGCCTCCTCCCCAGCCAGTGACCCTGCCCCACTGGTCCCCGCCCATGGGGACCCAGAATCTGTTGCTCCTGTCCTGGCCAGGCCACCTCCCTCCCTGGCCCTGTGCAGGGGCCCTGCCATGACCTGGTTTGTGTGACCCGTCTGTGTGTGTGTGGTTGTACGTGTGTGAGGTCCATGGACTGTTGTGTGCACTGTTGGTGTGCGGTGTGTGGTTGTGTGTGCATGGTCTGTGCTGTGTGTGTGGTCTGTATTTCATGTCCACACTTGTGTGCATATGGCATACAGCCTGTGTCGTGTGTGTTGTGTTGTATGTGTGTGCTCTGTGAGGTGTGTGTGCATTTGTGCTGTGTGGTGTGTGGTCTGTATTACAGACCACATGTACGTGGCCTCTGCTGCGTGTGTGGGACCTGTGTCACATGAATGTGTCTGTGCTGTGTGTCGTGTGTGCTGGTGGGCAGAGGGCCCGCCCCACTTTCTGACTTCTGGGTCTGGCAGCCTCGCCCACATCAGCAAAATGCCCACAGGGCCTGGGTGTGACGGTACGTACAGTACGTACGTGCGCTTCACAACAGCACACAACACAGCAGAGCACACAAGAAGCACCCCACACGCAACACACCCGGATGCCATACACAGGACACACAGCACAGGGCTCACAACCGACACTCCCACCCTACATGACACACACGCCGAACACCACTCGCTGCACACACACAAAGTGCACACAGCACAGCAATGTGTGTGCCGTGGGCATCCTCAGGGCGCTCACTGTCTCTCTGAACGGCCAGGGTAGGCGGCTCGGCTAGAGCACAGGGTTTACCAGTGGTCCCTGAAGGCAGGAAGCCCCTCCCCAGCTGATCACCCCAGAAACCAGACATCGCCTCGCTGCTGTCTTGGGTATGCACAGGAAGTAGATGCACCCGCCTAGCAGGACCCAGGGCTGGGCCACACTGGTGTTCACCTGGGCGGCCATGCTGGATCATTCAGACAAGGACATCAGATGACAAAAACACCATGTCCTTGGTCGTGACGTTTCCTGCCCGCGGAAAGACTCCAACATGTGCATCTATTCTGAGAGCAGTTGGGAAGCTGGGGTTTGTGTTGGGAGCCAGACAGCGGCGGCATTGAGACGCCTCCTGCCCCAGGAAGCCCGTCACGGGGACCACGGGGGGCGTCACTGCCTCAGGGAGGGGACCATCTGCCGCCCTGGCCAGGGATCTGGACGCTGCTGATCTGGATGGCCAGCTGCCACTCTCGGGCCCGGGGTCTTGACTGCCATCCCAACTGCAACTCCTTCCCAGCATCCCAGGCGAGGAATGGCCACTCCAGCTGCTGCTGACACCAGGCCTCCTGTCCCACAGGGCCAACTCTGGGAAATGTGGTCCTCACAAACCCCCTGCAAGCACGTGAGCCAGTGGAAGGTGAGCACCCCGGTCTGACTTCAGCAGGAGGCATTGCGGAGCCGAGCCTCCAGCCTTGGAAGCACCCATGCAGGACACAGGGAGCTTTGGCTTCAGCCCAGTGTGGATTTGAGTCCAGGTCCCCGTCCTTGCTCCTTCCAGACCCTGTGGAAGGTGTGGAAAGGCGTGCATAGGTGGATAGAAAGCAAAGCCACCAAGACACATGCAGCACAGGCTGCAGCCTCCACAGCCAGGCAGATGGGCTCTGGACCTGCTCCAGAGGGCAAGGAAGACGAGATGAGGTGCTCACCGCTAGGACAGTGTCACAGGGGGATCCGTGGCAATGCAGTTTTTCCTGTAATAAATTTTTAAAATGTACATATTCATCATATTTTTCTACAGTACCCCCTTGTATAATACACACTCAGGGCCTGAGAAAGCTCAGTGTAACAGAGGTTTACTTGTTTAGGGTGTGCCGCTGGGGTCTATTGGGACACTGACACCACCTGCTGAAAGTGCACCGTTCGGTGTCCTGGCCCTGATGCACATGCTGCGACTGTCACCGTGGCCACCACCCAAGGCTCCTGGGGCCCTCTGGGGCCCTCTGGGGTCCCCTCTTGCCTGTCCTGGCCCTCTGCCCTCCTCGTGTCCAGGCAAACCAGACCCACAGCTGCACATCGTGCCTCAGGCCCGAGGGCGCCCGTCCCAGGGGCACCAGTGCGCTGCCTGGCTCGAGCCGTCCTGGAGGGAGCCTTCTGAAGACGCTGTCTGTTCACCACCTCTGGGTGGGCAGCCTTGCGTTTCCAGCTTGGGGATGTCACCATAAGCCGAGGACCTTCCTGTACAACCTCGCTCCCCCACTTCCACAGGGCTGGAAGGCTGGGCCACACAGCACGAGTCTCAGTCGCTTTCCTGTCACAATATCCGACCGCCAGTCCCATCCTCTGCACACTCACCCAGTGACCAGAGGGAAGGGAATCTTTCTCCAGCTGTGTGCTCTCTTCGTTGCTCTGTACGAGACCCCATAAGATAAAAAGGGGCCCAGCGGTGCCCAGGCTGCAGGTCCAGTCCTTCAGACCCTGAGCGGATGCTGTGTGGGACGCATGTGCAGCCACTCACCACCCACCGGGCACGCTGGAGGAGGAGGCCGCTCTGCCCCAAGCTCCTTGGCCTTGGGCAGCTCACAGTGCCCGTGTGCCACAGCTGTGCCAGGCAGGGAGAGGGTTCTGGGTGGGGTGTAGTTTACTTCACCAGGGCAGGCACAGGCACAAGTTCCCATAAACGAGGTGTGATTGGAAACTACACCCTGAATATTTAATCTATATTATAGGAGAGGACACATCACCATGAATCCCCCTGAAAGCCCTCCCCTCACCTCACACACGCTCCTCCCACCGTCCTGGCCGCTTCCTGCAGCAGCTCTGGAGCCCTCTTTCCCGAGTGTCTTTAGTTGCGCTGTCCTGGCTGCCTCCATGTCCTGAATGGATTCAAAACGTTTCCTTTTCCTGGTCATTCTGACAGTGGGGAAGAGCTGGAAGCCACATGGTGCCAGATCTGGTGGACGAGGACACAGCGTTAGATTTTCATGAGCTGCCTTTCTGTTGGAGGCCCTGGGCAGCAGCATTCACAGTATCATTGACTACACCTTGTGAAGATGCAAAAGAAGACTTCCAGAACTGTTTCAGAAAGTGGCAAGAATGGGGGTACAAGTGTGTTTGCAGCAATGGGGAGTACTCTGAGGATAAACGGCAGTGTGACTTTCAGGGTAACAATTTTTAAATGCAAATACTTTCTGTACGTTTTGATCCCTCCCACATAGCCAGCCCTTCCTACAGCACATGCACCAGGGTGTGTGTTACAGACCCTCTGTGGGTCTCCCCCTCCTGCCTCAGGGAGCTGCCACGCCAGGTGCCCCTTGCCCTGGCCTCTCCAATATGCCTTGGGGTTTGGGGGTCCTCTCCTCACAGCCTCCCCGGGCCTTGACACCCTCTCTGCCCCAGGGCCTCCTGCAAGGACAAGCATTCCTGGCTTTGGAAATAGCTCAGATCCAGGCTGGGGAGGGGAGCGACAGTGTCCTAAATCTAGCAAGAGGCGCAGCGGGTCACAGGGCACCTGCCCGGCCCCGTCCTGCCCCCCAGAGCATAGCTCCTGGTGTCTTCATCCGGGGGCCCACGAGGGCTTCCGCTATCTCCGCAGACGCTCGGCTCTGAGGCTGTGCCCCCTAAGCCCTCTGTCTCCCCACTCCCAAACCTGAGGTGCCCTGAATGGGACAGGCAGGGCCGCTGTCTGCCCCCTAGGAAGAACTTCCTTCCGGGGAGAGCCGGGATCGCGCTGCAGCCACAGCCTCGTAACGCAGGCCGTGCAGGCCTGGCCAGAGCCGCCTACGAGGTGGGGCCCATCCAGCCACCCAGCTCCCCAGAGGGCGGTGGGGGGCCCCGGCTTCTTGGCACCGGGGCTCTAGACGCCATGGTGACAGCTGCTCCGTCCATTTATAACCCCGGTCCAGCCGGCCCCTGAGCTCCGCCACCCTGGAGAGCATAGCCCCGCCCCTTTCCACGCCCCCGGGCTGCTTGGGGACCTGGAGGGGGAGGGGCGTCTCTGTTCCTGGAAGTTTCCCAGCCAGAGAGTGGGTGACAAGGCAGCCGTCATCGGCCACTGGTCACCATCACCCAGGCAGTCCGTCAGCACCTGCTCATCATGTGCCCCAGGGGAGTGACCAGACAGTCTAGACCCTGCCTGCTACTGACCGCCTGCCAACGACCGGGCAGCAGCAAGCTCTGAACCTCACAACCCAGCCTAATCCCGCTAACCCTGCCTACCCCTTCGGTACTCGCTCTGGTGCCTGCCTCAGGGCCTTTGCAGGTGCCACGCTGGGCTGTCCCTGGGCTGGTGCTCTACTGTCCCCTTCACAGCTCTCTCCCGGCCGAAGTGTGTTGCTGTGGGACTCATGCATTCCTTATCTCTGTGTCCCAGTCTGCCTGTCCCACCCCAGCTCCCGGTGCCCACCCCAGGGCCCAGCACAATGAAAGAATGAGAGAAAAGGGAGGCGGCTGGGGTGGGCTGCTCTGGCCGGAAGGAAGGATCACGGCTGCTGGGGGAGAGGCAGAGTCCCTGCATGACTGCGGAGGCAGCCCCGAGCCTCTGGGAGCCCGTCTCCTTTCTTCCCAGTGACATGCAGTCTGAGCCCCAGCTCCCTCTGCCACCTCCACCTCGGACTCGTGAGAACCTGCAGCTGCCAGGCACCACTGGCCAGCCTTGGCCTGCCTGGTGACACAGAGCAGTGACCCTGGGGGAACCACAGCACCAAAGCACCCCGAGCACAAAGCTCTGAGGTCACCGGAGAGCAGGCAGGGCAGCCTCTGGGCAGGGCCCTGGCCTGAGACTCGACTCCTTTGCTGGTGTCCTCTCTGTGCTGCGGCCTTGCCTGAAGGGGCCCTGACCCCATAGCATCCCACGGACTGAGACGCAGCCTGAGCGGCCCCGCCCCGCCTGGGGTCCCGTTTGCCTCAGGTCCAACTCTTTCTCAGCAAGCATCAGTGCAGCCAACTGGGGCCTGGATTCAATCCCTCCTTTCAAAATCAATAATCACAAACCATGGTGGCTTGGCTTACCGGAAGCCAGCCATCTCCTGGGGGACAGACACGGCCACTGCCCTGGCAGGAGCCCCTCCCCAGACCAGTTCCAGGAAGCCGGGTCACGGGCTGAGAGTGGAATCTGCTCCAGGCAGCGGCTCCCTGGGGACTCAGCTGCCTGTCCCCACCCCCAAGGCCAAGTGCGGGAGGACAGGCCAGGCTGTCCCAGGCTTGCTTCTGGCCCAAGGTCCAGGCCCCTGGGAAAGCTCCCCGGGGGCTCAGCACCTCTCCATTTCCCCCCTTGTTCCAGAACAGAAGGAGCAGACCCAAGACGAAAGAAGAGCCCAGCCCTGTGCACCTCAGTGTCCCCACTCATAGACAGGGTCAAGCCCCCCACCTAGACCCTGACTTCCACTGAGCCCCAGAGAGACAGAGCCTGCTCTGCCAGTTCCTCCAGAGCCTTCTGGAGAAAACAGGCCAAAGTCACGTGGAACCCATCCTGGGGACACCCCACTGGCTACCAAGGGCCCCGTGTGGCTTTTTAGAAGGAGGAACCAGGCACCAAATTTGGTGGCACATGCCGGTCATCACAGCAAGCGGGAGGCTGAGGCAGGAGGATTGCTGTGAGTTTGAGGCCAGCCTGGGCTATATAGTGAGTTCAAGCCCAGCCTCAACTGCATAGTGAGACCCTGTCTCAAAGATAAATAACAAATAGAAATGAAAAAGGAGAGGTTTATTTTAGCTCCTGGCCCCAAGGCAGGAAAGGCAGAGTGGAAGGGCCTGGGGGTGGGGAGGGGAAGCTGCTCACCTCATGGCGGCCGGGAGGCAGAGAGGGGGTCAGGTGGCTTTTGAAGGGACCAACCACAGGCTGGAGCACGGTCCTGGCTCAAGCACTGGCAGGAGCTTTCCAGGAGCTTCCGACAGGCTCCAAACAGGTAAGCAGGCACTGGGCCCCACCGCCCCTCCCCGGCCGGCCCTGGCTTCCCCACATCCTCCCTGTGCAGCAGCAGCCAGGCCAGGCCAGTCCCAGGGACCAGAGCGCCTGGCGGGGGTAGCACCCCGAGGTGCAGGCTTCGTCACCATCATCCCCAGCCCCTTCCCACACAGGCCTTGTGCTCCTCCAAGCTGACAGGGCTGAGGCCACCTTGGGGAAGGAGGGGTGACTCCTGGTCCCTCTGACCCTTTCCCCACTGCCTCAGAGCTCCTGGCTGCCTGACTGGCCCCAGAGCTCAGCCCCCACCCCCCAGCCCTGGCCCGCCAGCTCCTCCCCCTCTCTGGACGGCGCTGGTCTCTGAGGGGTGACCCTGGCCACCCACAGGTGCACACAGAGCTGTGTCTGCTTTGGCCTCGGTGGTACCAGGCTGGGATCGTGGTGTGGGGACAGCAGGGAGGGAGATGCCAGGATTTATATCCGGCCTGAGTGGGCTGGTGGTGCTTGCCCAGGCCCCTCCCGGGGAAGGGAATACTTTCCCTTGGTGGGGTCCTGTGACCTGGAGGGTAGAGCCCCTTCCCGAGGAGCCCCCAGTTGCCAGCAGCAAACCAGAGGGCTGGCCTGGCCCAGCAGGGCTCCAGGAGCTCAAGGGTCGTGGATCCCCACTCCCATCCTCCCTGTACCCCAACTGTGGCACTGGATAGCTGCTGCCTCCAGCCCCTGAGACCCCTTTTCCTCATCAGCTCCTGCCAAATGGACCAACTTGAAAGCCTAGCCTCAGCCTAGGAAGCCCTGAGGATGCTGCCTTATTTCTGTGGGTTTTCTGGCCTATCTCTGAGCTCAGTTCTCCACTGCCCTGGTGCCAAGCCACTGTCCTCCCAACTGGCCTGTTGTGGACAGGCTTGGGGAAGGGGCCTGGAAGCCAGGGCCACCTGCACAGCCTGCCGGGACACCTGTCCCCACTAACCTGAGGCCACCACAAGGAGAGCTCCTCTCCTCCTGCCTAGCCCACTAGCCACCCTGCTGCCTCCCTGAGCTCCAGCTTTCTCTTCTTGTTAAACATTCTGAAGTACATATGTGCATGGCTAGCTATGCCTGATTTTGTCTTGTTGTTTGGGTTTTCGAGGCAGGGTCTTGCTATGTACTTCAGTGGCCTTGAACTACGTAGCCCTAGGCTGGCCTCAAACTCATGGCGATCCTCCTGTCTCAGCCTCCTGAGAGCTGGGATTACAGGCCTGTGGCCCCGTGCCTGGCTTGCCTGGCTTGGAGTTGCAGGGGACAGGGCATCACTGTGTGTCTTCAAAGACTAGCTCTACTTGGCCTTGAGTCACTAGGCAGCGCCACAGTGGTGGTGTGCAGTTGTGGTCACAGTGGATTTCTGTGTGACTAAGAACCCATCTCCCCTTTGGTGACAAGCACAGAGCCGTGTCTGGTCCGATGTTTTCCCCGGAGAGCTGCTGGGACATCTGAGCACATTCACCCTTGTTCTTGGGGCCCAGGAAGGTGCCTGCTCTGCGAGGGGCACCCCGAGGGCTTCAACCTCAGGACGGCGTGGGACAGTTCTCGGGGTTTAACCTGCTGTGCCCCGTTCCCACGGGTCTGGGGTGCAGGCAGTGGTCCCCCGCTGCAGCCAGGTTTGTGCCTCCCATCATGCGCACGACCTCTGACGATCTCCACGGAGTTTGGTGGGTTGACCAAACCACCCGACGCCTACCTGCGACCCTGCCCATTTCTCCAGGGGCCACTGTTGGTCTTTCTTTTTCTTTTTATGTAATTACACTGTCTGTCTTAAGCATTGCAAATAGCCCTCTTCAGTTAGTGGCTTTGTCTTTCAAATTTCCTCAAGGTGGTTTGGGTAAACCTGTTTTTTGCTGTTGTTCTTGAGCCAGGGTTTTGCCATGTAGCCCAGGCCGGCCGCACACTTGCTGTGGTCCTCCTGCCTCAGCCATGACAGGGTCCCAAAGCTGGGCTGGCCATGAGGATGCAGCCTGGCTGGCCCTGCAAGGTGGGAGCTGTCAGAGGTAGGAAGGTTCAGCCCTGTCTTCGGGCCCATGGCCAGCAGGAGCGCAGCCTGGGAAGCAGCTGGACACAGACAGTGGACGCCCCGGGCAGTGCCCATGTCAGTGCATGGTGCCACGGATAAGACCTGAGCTCCTCTGGCCCTTTCGCCGCTCCCTCCACTGCAACATCTGCAGACAGATAGGATTCGTCAGGGACAGACACGCACGGCCAGGCTGAGTGTGGGCAGGGTCTTCCTGAAGGGGCTGTTGCCGACCGGAAGCCACAGCCCGGCCTGGCCAGACAGTCCTGGGACGCGATCCAACCTGTCTGGGCTGCAGCACAGCCCAGAGCAGCTCTGCCTCACCTGAGGCCTTGGAGACAGGGATAGCCCCGGGCGGCAAGGGAACTCTATGGCAGTGTAAAGGTAGGCGGGTCAACTGGGGAGGTCAGCGAGCCGCGTCCTTGTGTCAGGTCCTAGGTGGGCGATGAAGGGTGGGAGTGTCTCCCTCAGGGAGCCCAGGGGCACCCCTGTTCCTGCCCCACGCCTGCAAGGCGGGAGTGCCGACCCCCACACCTCCCTTGGGTGGAGTGACGGGGACTCCTGCCCTGGACTCGGGCACACGCACTGGCATGCAGGTTCACGAGATGGTCCCCAACCTGCTATGCCAAATCCAAGGGGCAGTGGCGCAAGAGGCCTGAGGACTGCCAAGGGCGCTGCTTTCCTCACTGGGGTCCACATGGCCCTCCAGCAACAGTGGACCCCAAACCAAGGTGTGTGAGTGGGTAAGGAGAAGGGAGGCCTGGGGCTCCACCTGCAGCCCCCCAGGCAGGAAGGAGCAGTCTGGGAGCAGTCTGACGGCAGATGCAGGGGACTCCGGATGTATTGCCCCAGGGGCCCACGCCAGCCCTGGAGAGCTGTTCCCCAAGGCTCATGAGCTGGCATGAGCAAGGCACCTGAGCTCGGTGGGTACAGAAACCTGGGGTGCAGAGGCGATACCATCCTTTTGCTGCCCAGGGTCTGAGGGTGGAATTCTGGTTATGCCCAGCACGAGGCTCCCAGGACCTCTGGTGGGAGAACATGGCCCACAGGCAGTCGGCATGTGACACTGGAGCACCTGCCCGGAGGCCGCCCCTCTGCCTCTCACCCCATCCCGGCTGGGCCTGAGCCAGGGGGCCTTCGGGTCACAGGTCCCCCATGTGCCACTTGTTCCCAGCAGCACCTGGTGTCGGGCCAGCCACAGCCTCTGCAGACAGCGAATGTGCCCCAGGGGCCGCCGGCATGCGGGCCGAGGGGCGGAGGATGAAGCTTCTGGCTCCTACTCGAGTCATTGCTGTGCAGACCAACCGCTCCTCCTGACTCATTTCCTTCGCCCCAGCCTCCTCAAGAGGATGACAGTGTGGTGATTAATGCTCCGGCCCACTGTGGGGCCAGCTCAGAGCACTTGAAATGCCACATTGGCTTCCCTGTCTGTCTCCGGAGACGTCTGGCCCGGCCGCGTGTGGGAAGCTCGCGGAGCCTCTCCCCAGCCTCCCCCATGCATCCCCCCAGGAGGGCTGTGCTCTGCCTGGCCCCGGCGACCACCTGAGCGGAGGGCCAGGCCCCTCAGCAAACAGTGGGTCCAGCACTGGCCCCAGGGCCCTCGTCCCTCTTATTCCCTAGCAGAGGCATCACCCTGAGACCCCTGGGGTAAGGTGTGCTCAGGAGCCCCAGGGGCACAGGGGCTCAGCTGGGTTTGATCAGGAAGTGGTGGCAGCAGGAGTTTTAGGAGGAGGAAGGAGACAAAGCCCCACATCCACCCACAGGGAGAGCACACATGGTGAAAACACAGGAGGCCAGAGAGAGGGGCCCCAAGTCCCTCTCCAGCGCTCCTCTCCTGAGCACAGCAGCTTGTCACCTGCCCGGTGCCCACGCTCAGCACTGGGCCCCCAAGTCACTCAGCAGGGGCAGGGCCATGGCTGGGCCAGGCTGGGTACAGCCCTGAGGGCAGAGGCCTGGACACCCCGGGCCACACACAGGAGGGTGGGCATCTCTGTCAGGGCCCAAGCCTTTCAGGGGAGCCACAGGGCTTCCCGGGTTGTCTGGCCCCGGCCCCGTGGGAGACAGTGACTCGGCAGGAAGGCCAAGCCTTGGGAGGTGCCCTCCAGCAAGACCAGAGCCCTCCCCGAAGCCGCAGTAAGGAGGCGGGAGCATCCCTGGGCTCTTCTTCGGACCCAGCCCCAAGGCGGGCAGAAGGGCTCAGGATGGGAGGCCTGACGGATGCTTTACCGGCCCCTCTCCCCATTTCCTCTACTGGGAATTAAATCTAGAGCCTCTGCACTGGGCTACATTCCCAACCCCTTTTTATTTAGTTTTGGAGATAGGGTCTCACTAAGTTACTACTTACACAAGCTGGGTCCAAACCTTCAATGCTGCTGCCTCAGCCTCGAAGTGTACTGGGAAGGTGTGTGCCACCACGCTTGGCTTCTACTAGCCTTTTTAGAAAGGTCCACAGAGTGGGTGCAAAATGTAAGTCAGAGAAGCTGTGGGGCCCGGTGAGGTTCCCAGCAGCCAGGGAGAGGAGCCAGCCACGTGAGGGTCAGTCCGATGGACTCTGGTGGCCAGCAGCACAGGCTTGTGTGGGATCCACCCAGGGTGCCGTGACCGCCCCACACAGGCTCAGGTAGGCAGCTGGCAAGCGGAGTCCTCGGTGGTCACGGAGGCCCCCACCCAGGTGCACATCACCCACTGCCCGTTTGGCCCTCTGGTGTCCCCTGCCTGTCCTGGGTGCTATACTTGGCAAGAACCGGTCGGCTGGCCTTATGTTGGTCAGAACCCAATAGGAGCCCAGGACAAGGGCGGGCGGCTGTGAACACCTGTTCCGGTGACATGAAGGGAATGCTAAGCAAGGAAATGAGGTGTAGACTGATTTTCAAAGGATCCAAGTGGATGCTGGGTAGAGGATGATGGTGTGGGAAGGGGCGGGTTTGGTAAGACAGGGCAACTGGAAGGGGGAACCAAATGGCTGTGGCTATGGTGGGGACTGCATTTACGAGTGCACACAGCCAGGAGGCACCTGGTAGGTGTGGTTAACACAGGCAATTGGTCAGCTTGGTAAAGGGATGCCCTCTGCACATCCAGTGGGCCTGTCCAAACGGGAAGGCTTGAGCACCACCGAGGCTGTCCGGGCCTCGGCATGTGCTCCGGCCACATCCCCAGCCACTTTCTTGCTGCGACTTAAGACTCACCCCACCAACACCACGGCTGATCAGCCAACAGCTTGCTGTGTCCGATGCCGCTGTGGTCAGCGAGCAGCTCCGCGTGAGCCTCCAAGCGTGCAGAGGAAGAAGCGTTTCACAAGACACAGCCCAGGGGGCTCTGCACACAGGGAAAGGATGCCCGAGGGAGGAGGAAAACGTGTGGGAGGGGAAGCTGGGGAAAGCGGGACTGGGAGGCTGACCAATGTCCCCTGAGATGGAGCAGCCACCTCCAGACACAGTCCAGGGCTCAGGCCAGCACCAGACTGGGTGTCCAGGCAAGCGAGATGGTGGCGACCAGCAAGAAGTCAGGGCTTTCAGAAGGGTTGACTAACTTTCTAGGAGGAAGGCCAGGGTGCAGCTGGGATAGGGGGCTGCTGTGACAGGCAGACGTCCAGATGTCCAGGGAGGGCTCTCTCCAGCCAAGCTGATAGAACTGGATTCCATCCACACTCGCATGCACGCCCACTCCTGTGTGTGCACAGGTACACCTGCCCACACTCGCAGGCACAGGTAGCATATACATATGCTATACGCACACACCTTTGCATGTGACACACATGACATACGTGCACACACCAGAGGTTCTGGGGCTTCCAGCTTCCCACTGTGCTCTGGACCTCTCCAGACCCCCTGGCACTGGCTGCAACTCCACCCTGGCCCTCAGGGTGCCCTTCCCAGCCTCCTCCAGCTCCCAGGGTTGGGGTGGATTGGAACCAGGGAGGTCAGGACACAGGGATGAAACAGCATGGGCCTGCCACCTGGACGTGGAGGGCACACACAAGCAGCAGGCCCAGGCTGAGGTGGAGGTACACCCAGCCCTCCCATTTCCCAGCTCGAGATCCAGCCACCTTGAAAGTGCTGGGACAAGCTTTCTAGGAAAAGCAGGCCTCTATGATGTCAGGGCTGAGGAGCTGGAGAGAGGGCCAACTTCTAGGAAGGGCCATCCAGGGCCTCGGGAGACCTGAGGAGAAAAGCTAGAACATTCTGCTGCCTCTGGACAGGACGGCACTCCTCCCATGCTCCCGAAGGCCCCTCCCCAGGGCAGCAGTCTGTGCCTCACACATAGCAGGGCATCCACGCCTCTCCACTCGGCGATACTGACCACACAGCCATGCCACGGTGATTTTTTCCAAGCAGGGTGATTATGTGCCTGTTTCGGTCCTCCCTGCCACCCTGCCCTGTCAGAGAGTGACAGCCACAGCTTCCCAGGTGCCGGCACTAGGGGAGGGTTGGGAAGCTGGTCCAAGTGACCCTGAACTTCTAGAGCAAGAGCCCTGAGTCCTCACTCCTCTCCCTCTTGTAGCCCATGGCCTGGAACACAGAGTCATGCTCCAGTGTGGCGAGTCCTCCATGCTGGTGACCAACAGAGGCCAAACACAGCCTTGGCAGAGCCCAGACACCCTAAAGGGCAAGGACGGACAGAAGAGCCCGACCCCAGCAGAAGGAGACAAGCTGTTGGGGAGAAGGGCCCTCTGCAGGCCCCACTGCCCTCTAGGACACTGCTCTCCTAGGACGCGGCCTCCACTTGTGTTCAGCAGCCCTTCTCAGACGTGGTGTTTAGCAGGCCCAGACACGGAGGACACAAAGACCGGGCCTAGAGGGTAAAACACAGAAACCTCGAGGCCACCCCAGGCTCCCCCAGGGACAGCCCAAAGGCGCACGTCCCACCCTCTTCCCAGAATTCACCTCCTGCTAACCCTGTTCCCCTGTCAGGGTCCAGTTCAGATGCCACGCCCCCCATCTGCTCCTGTCCAGCCTGAGGACCTACTGTCCAAATGCCCAGTACGACCCCAGCCTGCTCTTTCCAGAAGGTGCCCTCAAAGTCAGTCTCCTCCACCCCCCGAAACAGTGATCTCTAAGTGCGTGCCCAGAAAGCTGGGGAGGCTCACGTGCGCCTGTCCAGGTGACACCAGCCTGGCAGGTGCCCTCGCTGAGCTCTTAGAAAACAGGTGTCCTTATGACCCACTTGAGCCCAACGCCCTGATTTCCAAATCCTTGAATCTTCAGGGCCGGGCCCAGGGCCAGCACGAGGGGTTCTGACACCAATTCGTCATACTTGGCTGTGCCCAGCCTGTGAACAGCCCGCACCTGGCTGCACAAACAACTGCTTGCTGGCTTGCCCACATTCCTTCATTCCTAACCCAGACACTTTATCCCGTCTTAAGTATAAAGTGCGTAGGAAGTGCTGAGTGGTCAGGGACACACTTCAGGCAGCCACGTAGGAAGATTTCCTCCTGGGCCTCCTGAGCCCAAGGCAGGGCTCCATTCGGGAAGCTCTGCTGTGCTTAAGCATTCCAGGGAGGGAGAGAGGCCAGGGGGCCAGAGGGAAGGGGGTCCTGCCCCAAAGGTGCTTTTCTGGAGACAGGGTCTTGCTATGTAGCCCAGGCTGGCCTTGAATTCATGGCAATCCTCTTGCCTTAGCCTCCTGAGTGCTGGGATAACAGGTGTGCGCCATCAAGCCGATGAAAGTAAATTGGCCACTTCCATGGACAGCTGAGGCTCTGCCTTCAGGGACTCTCTGAGGCTGTGCCCAGCTTCAGCTACCTTCAGGGCACATGGCCTGCCTGTGGGGGCGCTGGCCCAGAGCTACCCGAAGAGGGCCGCACCTGCACCCGGCAGCAGCTGGAGGAGACGCAGGCTTGGGGTGTACGCAGATGCAGCGGTGTTCGGGGCTCAGGCCGGCACCCTGAGAGAAGCCGGGGAGGACAGAGCTGCCGGACACAAGCACTCTGGAGGACTGAGCTGTGTGGTGGGGACTTCACAGAACAGGCTGGGGGCAGTGGGGGAACCGAAGACAGGGCCACACTGGGGGTGCTGGGGCAGGAGGCCCGGGCCCCGCTGGTCAGGGCCGGCCACTCTCCGCCACTGTGGACTGGCTGCACGGACATCCCCGCCCCTGGCTGGAGTCCCAGTTCCCGCCTCCCTTGTGCTCAGGATATGCTTGGATTTTAACAGCAGTCCAAACTAAATGGTATCAGAAAAGAAAGTATAAAAACTTGGGCAAAAACCATGCAGCACATGCTAAGGTCAGAAGTGACAGCGGGTTTGGGCTGCGACTCCGCTTCAGCTCGGGGTCACAGCCCTGCCGTTCCGGTTTGCTCCCGGAGCTGAGTCTCCTCAGCAGGAGGCTGGCGGAACTGGAGGAAGAGGGGCCCATGATGACCAGAGGCACTGCTGGTACATGTGGTCCTCCGGGAAGGGGGTTTGGCCAGCACCCCATTCCCAGTCTGGCATGGGTGTGCTCTGGGCGGGACCTCAGGACCTGCACCAGTGTGAGAAGGGCTGGCAGAGTTGGGCACAGTAGTGATTTGGGGCCAGGGGCAGCAGGTCAGGAGCCTTGAGAACTGCTCTCCAGTCGCACAGGGCGCTGTTCAGAGACTAGTACCACGGAGAGCTGAATCACTGCTCTCCTACCACAAGTGGATTTGCAAGGAACAGGAGGGACCTGAACTTGTCTGCCTGATTGGTGTGCCCTTTCCTCGGCCCCCACCTTTCCTGTTCTCACTGCTGGAGGATCTGGGGCTTGTGAGGCCTGAGGCTGTGCTCGGGGCAGAGCTTGAGCATCCTTCAGCAGTGAAGGCTGCCGCTCCCGACAGCGCCCTCGGTAGCCAAGGTCAGAAAGTTCTGGAAGGATTGAGAATGAGGAAGTGCACGCTGAGTCAGGGCAGGCTGAGTGGCCACAAGAGGGGTTATGCTAGTCCCATCAGAGGCAGCGCACCCTCGGGGCCAGGCTTCACTGCCAAGAATGGATGGCTTGGCCCAGAACCGAGTGTGATTAATTCAAAGGACAAACAGGAAGGCTTCTCACCTGCCCAGACCTCCGTCAGGGTTTCCTGTGAGACAGACGATAGCATCAGGAGCCCTCAGAGGATAGGGAGTTTTGTTCCATGCAGAGAGGCTCCGTGTGGTGACGTGAGCAGCTGCAGGGCTCGAGGGAGAGGGGCCCTGGGTCCCACAGCTCACAGCAAATCCTCACTCCGGCCTGGGACCAGGGCTTGCTCCTTACCGGATGGTCCCAGCACTGCTACCCTGCACACAGAGCTTTGCTTCAGGCCTTTCCAGGAATGGAATCTGCCCAGAACAACAGAGCAAACAGGATGGGGAAAGCGGCTTCAGGTCACAAGGCAGTGGGCGGAGTTGGCAGCAGAGCACGGTCGTTCTGTACCAGGACGGCCGATGGGTCTGCCCAGTAGTGGTGGGCTGGTGTCCCTGGAGAAGTGCAACTCTGAATCCTGCTCAGCTGTCACCTGTCAGCTGCTGCAGACCGGGCCAGATGCCTGCGCTCCACACCTGGTGGACAGCCAGAAACACTGAAGCAGACAGCAGGCTCGGAAACGTGGCCTTGTTGTCAGCGTCCAAAGGACAAAACGCATCTCCCTGGCCGATGGAGTCTGGCAGCCACAGTGCCCCCAGTGCCATCACTCGCAGGCACACATGTGGAGAGATAGGGAGGGGTCACCGGAAGGAAGCCCAGCTCCGGGCCACATGGCCCAGGGCCAGCACCCCCACACCTCAGCATGGGCTCCTGGGCGCTGCTGTGAAGGCCGGACCGAGACATCAGCTGGACAAGCCCTTTGGCTGGGTCACTCTCCCAAGACCCAAGACCCAAGGGTGGCCCTGGGCCACACACCAGCTAGGTACTGAGGGGTCCGCTTCTCGCTGGAGGACGTGAGAACACGGCATGATCTTGGGTGAACCCCTCTGCTGCGGGGCGGGCTCCCTGAGGTGCAGGACACAGCAAGGGCGCCTTCTGCAGACCAGGAGACTGCTGGAGAACAGGAAGCCCTGGCTGCCTGCCTGGCCACCTTCTCAACTCAGCACACACACACAGACACACAAACATACACATGCACAAACACACACACACACACACGAACTTGAGCACACACCCCAAACCCAGCATGCAGCACATGTACCTCAAACACACTGCAAACACAAACCACCAAGTCAGCAGCACACCAGACAGCATACGTCACACACCTCAGACACACCACCAACACACACTCACAACCTCACACAAACAGCACGCAGCATGCACACATCAACTACACACACATATACCTCATACACAGCACACACATACTCCGAACTACATACCCCCTCAACAAAACACATACTCCCAACATGGCACGCCAGCCCCATACACGCACATACACACATGCGCATGTACAGATACACACACACGCCGGTGTTCTGGGTAGGACCACTGCCCACCTGGGACATCCAGGGGTTTGCCCCAGATCACTAACCTGCTCTAAGGAAGAGGCATCTGGGTAGCACACACACCCTCTGCCCTTTACAACGGCACCACACGGCCTTAGTGTGCAGGGTGGGACATCTCATCCAGCCGTGAGGAGCAGCTCCTCCTCTCGTGCGTGGAGACTGCAAAACTCGCCTCTGCTGGCCAGTGGCAGAGAGCAGGATGGTGACTCACCAAGAAGAGACAAGGTCTTGGCACAGGGCCGACAGGCCGCAGTGTGCGCGGTTTTTACAGGGAGTTCCTGCTCTAACAACAGAGCTGAGGCTGGGGGTGCTCCTTGGAGCTGGAAATACGCATTTGGCGAATTTACGCCATCTGCCCTGGGTGATGTCCTGAGCCTCGGCTGCCCCTTCGTCCCTCCCCCAGCAGCACCCGGTCACACAATGAGGGAAGCCGCAGCCGCAGCTGCAGCCGCAGCGCAGCCGCAGCAGCACAGCTGCTGTAGGGAGTCCTCCCTCTGTCCCTCTGCACACCCCGGGACTGGCGGAGCCTGCACTGGCTGAGCCTGCACTGGCTGCTGGGTCTAGGCAGGCATGGAGGGGGGGATCTGTCCTGCTCTTGGCCTGGTCTGCCTCAGCAATGTGGAACTGCAAAGAAACACTGAAAACAAAGCATACTTGATTATTCTAGGCAACGGTCTGACAGGCTGCAGTGACCTGTGAGCAGGGACTCGCTGAGACACGAATAAATGCCAGTTTAAAAGATGCCCTGGAGATACTGAGTAAAACCTTTCAGAACCTGTTTATGCTGATGACTAATCTGCATCTCCCCACCCTTTCTAACCATACTCATGTGCTGAGGCAGCCATGGGAGCATGTCGCAGTGGGCAGCAAAGCGTTTACTGCCTGAGGTGGGGCTCTGTCCCCTTTCCTCTCTCCAGCTGATGGCCTGCTGGTGGCTCAGGGCATCTAAACCACTGTCACCAGCCCTCCAATCACCCAGGAGGGGACATCTACTGGTCTAGCAGCCAGTGAGCTACGTGAGGACACAGGCTAAGGAGAGGGCAGGTGACACCAGCTGTGACCAAGGGACGACACAGAGCAAAGTGAGGCTCTGCCACTTGGGCCCCAGTGTCTCTACCTGCAGGTGTGGTCGGCGATGCTGGGCTCACTGGGCGGCCATGGGCACTGAGAGAGCTGCAGGCCCTACAGTGCCAATGAGAAACCAGCACTGTGTATTCAGCTGCTGGCTCCCCATCACCTGGGGAGCCTTGCATTTCCTAGAAATCGGTGCTCTCAACACTAACATGGCAACTATGTGTGGACCACACAGATTCAACACATGTGGTTCTCAAGCACAGAGCGAAGGGCTGCTGACCAGACAGCTAGTGGCCCTGGGACCCCGGAGACCCGCAGACGCTACTGCTGAGATGGTGGGTGTGTGCTTGTGTGCATTTCTGGGTAAGGGGATTCTCAGAGCCAGGGCCGGTACCTCCACACTGCTCTGAGTATCTGTAAGTCAAGGAAAAGGAGACATGCACCCAGCTGGGAGGAGCGGCTGGTCCTGCCTACCCTTGCTTTCCATTTTGAGCAGCGCTTGCCTAGCTTGTGGCCTGAGGGAGCTCCAGGGCCCCAAGACTCCCTCCTCCAACCTGTAGAGGATCTTCTCATTTCCAGTCACTCAAAGGACATCTCAGGTTAAAACATACTATATAGGTTGTAAATTTCCTGCCTCAGCACACGGAGTGTTGCCTGAGAAGGTAGGCCCAGATTCCCTCCAAAATGGCAAAGTGCCCGGGCTACATGCTTGGCCCAGGTGTGAGTGCAGTGGAACCAGACAGTAAGAGGGCAATTCCTGAGTCTCAACTGCCCCAGACTAAAGACATCTCAGGGCTGTTTTGGGAATGGCTGGCTTCTGCCACATCTGGGTACCTGGATCTAGTATGTGGCTCTACAGAGGGAGGAAAGAGGACCATGCTATGGACAGTAAGTGTCAGCAGGCTTTCCAGCCTTTAAAACCAAACCTGCCAGGCCCCTGCCCTGGGTCTGCCTAATGTGGAGAAGGCTTTCACCCTGTACATCTCACAGCAACAGGGCGTGGCAGCAGAAGCCCTTACTCAAGACCGGGCGATGGCCCCCAGCCAGCAGCCTATTTCCCCATGGGCTCAGACACAGCCACACTAGGAAGGCCCGACTGCTGAGGAGCAGGGGCTGCAGTCACCCTCCTGCCAGGTTAGTCCTGGGCCCGTCCTGGGAAGTACACACACCTCGGCAGGCTCACCAAGAGGACATCAGTGGGTGACTGGAGGCCAGCGGTGCAGCATCAGGCTCCCCTCTTAGGCTCCCCAAGGTCGTTTTGAGGGGGCCTCCCTGCTCGGGGGGGGGGGGGGGGGCGCTCAAGCAAACGGCTGTGTGGGAGCAACCAAACAGGTCTGTTTCAGTGTTTCAGTCGGTGGATCTCCACGATGAGCCCGATGGCCCTGATGGGCAGGTTACAGATGGGAGCGGTTCTGCCCTGGGCAGGAGAGGACAAGTGGAAAACGCAGTCATCAGTCCCAGAAAACACTGCGGCTGGACTTTTACTTCCACTTACATCTGCCCAACAGGCAGAGCCCAACTAGCAAAGGACTTGTGGGCCAACATCTAAACAGATCCCAGCTACGGCTTCTTACTTCTCCGTGCCTACGCGGCTATCTAGGAAAAGGGCAATGTTCATGGCTAAAACTCTGTGTATCAAGTATGGGCCAAAGACCCTATTATCAATAGCTCTTATCAATAAAACAAAATAAAAAGTAGTGGTGAGGATATGGAGATTGGAACCCTCAAGCACTGCTGCTGGTGGGAATAGGAAATTGTACAGCTGTGGGAGACAGATCGACAGCTCCTCAAAAAGCTAAACATAAGCCAACCACCCCAGCGTTTCAGGGGCTGAGACTCTGTTTCCAAAAAGAAGTTAAACACAGAGCCCCATAGGACCCAGCAATTTTCTCCTAGGAATACACTCAGAAGTGAAAGCAGAGACTCAATACTTGTACACACATGTTCTTGGCAGCACTATTCACAGTGGCCAAAAGGTGGAAGTAATCCACGTGCCCATCAGCAGATGAATGGATAAACACAACATGGGCCACGCACACAGGGGATTAGACGGCCATAAAACAAAGGAAGTCTGGCGCACGTTGCAACAAGGATGAGCCCCGAGGACATCAGACTAAGTGAAACAGGCCAGACCCACATGCTTCCTGATTCACACGAGGTGACTAGAATAGTCCAGGCCACAGAGACAAACAGAACAGGGAGCACCCGGGCTGGGGAAGGGTCTGGGGAATGGGGAAGGATTTAATAGGTACAGAGTTTTAGACTGGGATTACGTTTTGAAAATAGTGGTGGGGCCGTGGGTTTAGCTCAGTGGTTTTGCCGCCTGCTTCGCAAGCGCAAGGACCCGAGTTCGATCCCCGGTACCCAAAAAACATAAATAAAATAAATAGAAAATAGTGGTGATGGTTGTTGCTCAACACTTGCAACATATACAATGCCACTGAATTCTATACTTAAAAATGGTTAAAATGGTAAGTTTTTTCTTTTTTCCAGTACCAGGGCTCGAACTTAGGACCTTGCCCTTTGCAGGGCAGGCGCTGCACCCCTGAGCTAAATCCCTTGCCCTGAAAATGTTAAATTTTTGTTAGGCTCATTTAAAAACTTAAAGAGGGGCTGGGAATGTAGCTCAGCAGTAGTGTGCTGGCCTCACATGTGTGAGGCCCTGGGTTCCACCTCCTGTACCAAAAACAAAACAAAACAAAACAAAATGAAACATCCTTAAAGAATGACAAAAAAGAGAGACAAAAATGTTTTCATCTGTAGCACCACTAGCACATTCAAAGGACTCCAATTTCTTATCCTACACCTGGAGATAAATTTACTTGTGCACACTAGAGCTGAGGACCTTACAGATGACAGAAGAGAGAAGGAAGCCACATTCCCTTGTCTTGCCGTGAGTGCAGGGCGAGTCGATGGTCACCACGCCCTGCAGTGACCTGGCGCTGCTGCCCTTCGATGCCACCAGAGCAGGTGTCGCCCTGCGTCCTCTTGAGAGAGACTGCACAAGAGCTCTTCTGCCCTTGGCAAGTACTTTCTTCTGCCCATCTCCATCGCCACCCTCCCTCTACCCAGGGCCTGGCTTTTCCTGTTCTCTGCACCCCATCATGGGTGGGGAAACCCTGCTGTTCCGGAGGCAGAACAACGAATCACACCAGCTCCCCACTGCCTCATTAAACAAGCAGCACCCACAGAGACGGCACAAGCTGGAGGAAGCCCAAAGGTGCAGCAGCCTCAGTTTCTTCGCCAAGAGTCAAGGCCTACAGCACAGATGGCGCCGTGAATCTTCGGCTGCTTTTCAAAATGCCTCCGGGCTCTGGGAGTGAGTGCTGGCTCACGGAATTCAGGCAGCTGTGCCTCCCTCTGCCGTCCAGTCAATCTCACCCAGAAACTGCGCTGCTGCCTATGAAAATCCACTTCAGAGATATGAAGTGACGACAACATCACACACAGCATAAACAGCCTGTGTGTGTTTAGGTGGCCACTGCAAGAGACACCTGCACTTGTCTTCAGTCTTGTGAGAAGCCCAGGGCCAACCCTGCAATGACACACTCACCGGGGGAGGCGGTGCCCAGGAGAGGATGGGATGCGTTCCCCCGCTGTACCTCAGGGCCAGTGCATGCAGCAGTGCTCTTGGATACCACAGTGTTGGGGAGAGGCACGGTGCCCTCTCATCCTATGCCAGAGGCCCAGAACACAAGCTGGATGGCATGACAACGTGCACATACAGAGCAGGTGCCAGGAACACACGCCCATGCACACACCCACCCACGGCCATGGAGGGAGAGGGGACCACCATACCAAGAGTCTGAACTCACTGCATCTGTTCTAACCTATGAGGTCATTTCCCAAATATGGTATGAAGAAAAACTGGACTTCTCAGCCTATGCCCAAAAGGCCAGAGCAATATAAGCAGAGTTTGCTTTCTTAAGCAAACGTCCACACACACTGACACACACACAGACCAACTTCCTAACGCTGAGCTGCTACTCCACAACACAATCACTGCAAACACTAACTCTGGCTTTATTCAAGAATAAAGGAGGCACAAAAAATATAGAGCTAAAATTCCGATGTCATCTGGAATCACAGGTTTACCAAAGGTAATTAAGGCAATCCTGCATTTGGGGGGTTAATTATAATTACTAGAGACAGAATGAATTGTTTTTCAGAGAAATGCACCTCAGGAAAATGCTAACCATGAGGTAGATGGTTACGAATCTCCCATTTTTCCAGGTGACCCCACAGGTCACAGACAGGCTACTGGCCAAGAAAGCCCTCTTCCAGGGAGTACAGAAGGATGGGGTCTTCTTTGGCTCCCCCTCTGGCAAGATTAACACTACCACAGGATGCCACTTCCAGAGGGAGGAAGTGCTGTGGGACACACCCCTCTTCATGTCCGTCTCTAGTCCAGCAATCTGCCCCCTCTAGTGCGTGGTACATGGCGATGACTGAACACCCAGTGAGGAGGCTGGGGTGTGGGGTGGGGACTACACATCACACTCCAGGGCTCGGAGGTCTTCCAGGAGCTCCTGTGCCGCCATCTGCAGGCGGGGGTTGCGGCTCTTGGACATGGCCAGGATGCGCGGCAGGGGCAGTGAGTTCTGGAACTCGGAGGCTGACTTGGAGAAGACTTCTGGCTCCAGAACTACGGACTGGACAAGCCGCAGGGCATGAAGACACACTTCTGCATCTGGGTCTAGAGAGACAGGGAAGGTTTCTGTTAAAACAGAACTGTCGGCATCTGCCCCAGAAGGTCCTTTCTGAATGACTGGCTTACCAGCTGAGAACTCTTTCAGACTAATCCAGAAACAGTCACTTCTTTATGTAAAAGCACAGTTCATAAAATCAGTATCACAAAACTCAAGTGTCACTCAAGTATTAGTACCTATCCACCTGCAGATACCACAATCATGTAATTTAGAACGTTGAACTAGAAATATGAGGACCACCATGGGGGTCTGGAGGCGCTACAGCAAAGCCCATGTGTTGAAGGTGTGGTCCTGAGCCCTTGGTCACTGCACTGGAGGCGGTGGGTCGCCTAGGAGGGGCAGCCTAGAGGAGGGAGGTTAGATCACTGAGGCGAGTGCTTTTAAAGGGGATATTGGGACCCCAGGCTCTCCCCAACCCAAACTAATTTACACATTCAATGTACTCCCAACCATAATCTCCACAGAAGCTGACCAATTCTCAGATTTATTTAGAAAAGCACGGGAATGGTACGAATATAACAATTTGGAAAAAGAAAAATGCGTGAGGACTTACAATTCTAGATTCAAGACTAGAGTTATCAAAACAGTGTGATATTAGTGAGGAGATGCAGAGAAGAACGAAGCAGAAGCACTGAGAACTAAGCCTAAGCGTCATCAACTCTTGGGAAAGTTATAAATGCAGTTCCGTCACAAAGGAAGAGCCCTTTCAACACATGGCGCTGGAAAACCGAGCACTCATACGCACAGACTGAGAACTTCACATTTTGCCTCATATACAAAAATTACACATAAAAACTGACCTGTGTAAAACCCAAACTGTACCACTTCTAGAAGAAAATCCTTGTGATTTTGAGTTAGGTAGTTTCTTAAGATACAAAACCAAAAGCTCCACTGGTGCCAGAAAGAAAAAAAAGTCCCACCAAGATTATCAACACCTTCTCTACAAAAGACACAATTAAGACAATGAAAAGAAAAAAAGCCACTAGACTGGGAGAAAGCATTTGCAAAACAAACTGCATCTGTAAAGAACCTAGGTTCCAGCACATGGCAAGAGGCTCACCACCACTGGTTATTAGGGAAACTCAAATGAAATCCTCAATGAGATACAACCACACACCTATCATAAGGGCTAAAATAAAAAATAAAGATAATCTGACAAGACCAAGTGTTGGCAAGAATGAGGAACAATTGAAACTCTCATACAATACTGGTAAAATTTTAAATAGTAGTTTAGAAAACAATTTGACAGTTTCTTATAAATGTAATTATATAATTACCATACAACTCAGCAATCCAAATTGTAAGTAGTCAACCAAGAAAACAAAAACTTGTGTTTATAAAAAAAAAAAAATCCTGTACACAAACATATGCAGTCAAATTTCCTTCAACGGAAGAGTGGATAAACTACTGACTGTGGTGCCTTTACATACAATGAAAAAGTGCTCAACAATAAAAAAAAACCCAGAAAATTGATATAAACAATCATATGATAAATCTCAAATAAACCATGTTAAAGAAAGAAGCCAGACTTAAAAGTCTACACAGAGCATGATTTTATTTATATGCCACTCTAGAAATGGCAAAACTAAGGAAAAGAAAACAAATCCATGGTCCCCAGGGTCTGTGGTGGAGGAGAGGCTGACTTTAAAGGAATAAAGCGGTAACCTGAAGTGACAGAACTGTTCCGCATCATTATGGTGTGGTTACATGGGATGTGTACCTTTCTTTATGTAGATTACAACTCAATAAATAAATCTAAGTGCTTTAAAAAATAAAAACAGAAGGGGCCGGGGATTTAGCTCAGTGGCTCCGAACCTGCCTTGCAAGTGCAAGGTCCTGAGTTTGATCCCCGGTACCAAAAAAAAAAAACAAAAACAAAAACCAGAAGCAGCAATGAGCTCCCTGGACCCTCTCCCCGGTCTCTGCCCCTTCCCCAGATGGCTGGGAATTTATTTTCTAAACTGCCTCTGGAGCAGGACGCCAGCACAGCTGTGCGCGGAAGCACTGTGTGGGTAACAGGCAGACTAAATAAACACAAGCCAGCAGACCCTAAGGCACCCCCTTCCTGCTCCGTTTCCACAGTTTGTAGCCCTCACCCTCCAGACAACTCATCTCTGGCTCACGTGAGTGACCGAAGAGGACTAACTCCAAAATACTGACTGTGGGCTCCCGACCAAAGCTGCACCAGCACAAACTGCAGGCAAGCTCATCAGCCCCACCCACACGGTGAGCACCCCACCTGTGTGAGAACCTTCAGCCTGGCCTGGTGTGCACACCCTTAGTCCCAACACTCTGACAGGCCAAGGCAGATGAAAGTGCAAGCCCAGCCGGGGCAATTTCAGAGAGTTAGCAAGAAATTGTCTGAAAATTTAAAAATTGAAAAGGACGGGATGTAGCTCAGTGCAAGGCCCTGGGTTCAATCCCTAGAACCCCCATGCAAAAATCCCACCTTTAAACATAAGCAGACAATCTACTTTACCGGACACCCGCGGAACACGAAATCATCAATACATTTGTTATTAATGAACATCTTGAGATTTGGATAAGTAGAAGAGAGAAATTTGGGCTCAAATGGATAACGAATAAATATATAACGAGACAAAACAAGAAAATTATTAACTGAGAGAAGTAAACGGGAAGGAAAGAAAATATTTGTGGCTCTGAGTAACAGCAGTCACAATAACGTACACACTGAATGTTACTCTAACCCAAAATGTGACGTCATCTGGGAGCACAGGAAGTGTGAAGGAAGATGAGAGCGAAGTGCTCTTTCTGTGTAACAAAACCAGTAGTTAAATTTCCTCCGGAGATTTGCTTGGGAAATGCTTCCCAAACCTGCTTATCCCCAGAGAGAAAATGGTATGTGTAGTATCTGTAGGGTCCATGAGGGGAAACTAGAAGGATAAAGGGCAGAGAGACTACATGGAACCTGAATTATATAATTAAAATAAAGCACAATAAAATTCAGAGTATTAAAATATTAAATGATGAATCTGTTCAAAGCTTTCACATAAATTATCAAATATGATGCGGAACTTATTTCTGTGAGCATACTCTCTGTGTTAGATGTCATGTTCCAAATGATTCCACATAATCCCTCATTGAGAATATACAATAAATTTGTCATAAAATTTCTTGACAAATGGTCTCCAACCACACGTTGGTAATAATTTACAGTTCTTTTTTGTTCTCAATCATCCAAAATATATAATGGTTGAAATAAGAATGGAACCGATCTTCCTTCTCATCTGTTGGTAAAACTTTCTGTGACAGGGTCAGTGTGATTAGGATGCAGTCAAACTACTTCCTGTCAGGATGTCCAGGTAGCAGCAAGCTCTCAGGGAAGCCACCACATGGTCCTCCCCCAAGAGCTCGGTGGCCACTTCCAGGGCTCTGTGGATTCTGGACCACAGCAAGGCCTCGAACTGGGCTTTGGAGCACCTCAGAACATGGACCGGTCCAGCAGCAGAATGAAACCTGGGCTTGCAAACTCCAAAGAACAAGAGGAGCAGGTGAGGAAGCCATCTTCCTTGTCCCACATTGCCCTCTAGAGCACTTGTTTCTCTTCCCAGAACATTCCAGAAAGAATTATCTGCTGTTGCTGCTGCTCCTGCCTTGTCCTTGCCCTCTAGTCACACTGCCTCCCCCCCCGCTCCCTGAGACAGGCCAAAAAGAGAGCTGTGTGGCTTCCCAAAAGGGGTGAGGTGAGACAGGCTCTAAAGTCAGGAGACAAATGCAGCCATGGTGCAGCCCGAGAGAAAGAAGCCCATGCTACATCAGCAAGGGAGAGCCAGGGGTCTGCTGGGGGCAGAGTGTGAGGGTAGGCAGCCCATGACTGCTCCGGATGCCTTTGCCACCCTTGCAGACGTCCCAGTAGTCTGGTGAGCAATAAGCATCCCACCTGAACTCTGACAGCAAGACTGGCAGGCCCAGGGTACTAAGCACAGGTCTGTGCGGAGCAGGCAGGAGACAAGCACGTGTGCGGTCCCATCCCTCTTGGCGGTACGGACAGTGTTCCTCTCACTTCCATCATCAGGTCTGTCTGTGACACCCCCCTCATGCTGCAGCATCAAGCCTGTCCACACTGTTCATTGCCTGCTTGTGAGTCCTACCACTGGTAGAGTGGACTGAGCTGGCTGCACTACGAACCAAGGGCAGCCAGTCCGGAGAACACTGAGCAGACAGAGAGCTGCTGAAGAGTTCTGGAGAACAGCAGAGACCCCAGTGGAGAGCTGCTGGACCAGCAATGGGGGAGCTCCAGAAAGGGGCCAGAAGCTCTGAGTTCTGGCTGCTGAGGGGCTGGGAGAACTGTTAACATTGGCTGTTACCCAGGTAACAGGGTTACAGCAAGAGCTGAGAGCAGCTGGCATCAAAGCTCAGAGCTGTAGCGTGGAGAGCTGTTGGCACTCAGAACTGTTAACACAAAGGGACTGCACTTTGCCTTTTTGCAACTTCTATCCAAATTGAGCAAAAGAACCTCAGCCAATCAGTAACACTTACTGGTGAGGCCTTTGGAAAGTGATCAGATTAGACCAGGTCACTAGCATGGAGCCCTGGGATTGCATCCTAGTGGCTTCCTAAGGAGAAAGAGACACACAGATCCCCGCCATGATGTGACATGGCCAAGGAGCCCTCCCAGCGCCTATGCAATCCTGCTGGGCTGCTGAACCTCCAGAACCCCAAGCCTAAAGCAGCCTGCCTCACGTACTTCACTGTCCTTTTAAAAATGGACCAGTCAGAGGTTCAAAAGCAGCCACTAGAAAAGTTCCTCAATGAGAAACTATGCTAGAAACAAACTTTAAAACAATCTAATAATAATGAAAAAATAATAATCAATAATCAACAATAATAAAAAAGAATCAAAGAAATAGAAGATATAAGGAACAAAAGGAAAAGTAAAACTGAAAAATACAATAACTGAAAGAAAAAGCTTGGGGAAACAGAATGGAAGAGATAGGTGGAAAACAATCAGTGAACTGAAAGACAC